CCCCTCCCGATTATCTGGCAGGAAAAACTTCCAAGAGCTAGTGCCTCCCACCTCAAGTCTTCAGGACCCACTCACCCTTGGAGGGGCAATTAATGGACCCCAGGGTTTAAGGATTGATCTGGGAGGAATCCTGAGGAGTTAGGTAGGGAGTTCTAATTCTCTCGTCTCCAGTCCAACTCTGGAGGCATAAGTCTGTCCCTTCCAACCCTAGCTGGGAACTCCGTCCTCCTGGCCCATGGAACCCACACTTACCAGCTCCATCCTCAACGCCATGATCTTGTCCCCCAGGCTGTGGCCGTGGCCGGTGCTAGGCGCCCCCGAGAGCATCAGGGCGCCGGAGGTTCCCGGCTCCCATTCGCCTCGCAGCCCGCGGAGCAGCCCTTCAGGGGTCTTCCTGCCCACCTTGCCCTCCACATCTCGCAGGTCAGGCGTCTGGAACTCCGCAGTCCCCTCCATGCGGGCCTATGGCTGAAGAGGACTGGGCCACCGGACGGCGGGGTCTCGTTCCCGGGGGTCCTCCTTTGCCCGCTGCTGGTGCTGAGTGGAACCGGTGGGTCCCCGCCCGCGCCGCGCGGGGGCGGGCGGAGGGTGCCGTAACACTCAGAAAAGCCGCGCAGAGCCGTTCGTGCGTGCGTGCGCGTGTGTTCGTGTTCGTGTTCGTGTGTGTGTGTGTGTTCTCGAGTGCTGCGCACACAATGTACCTAGAATGGGTGGGGCTGGGCGATTTGTACTTGGATTTGCACTTGAAGGAGCACTAGGAGAGTTCAGTGCCTTCTCCCTACACTGCCAGCTGAGTCTAGCCAGTCACGTAGCAGGCGCCCGATAAATGTTTGCTGAAAAAAGCTAAGCATCCTCAGGGGTATGGGAGTTTAAGGAACAGTGGTGACAGAAGCTGCAGAGGATTTTTAAAGGCTTCCTGAAGTAGAGGGGCTGGGTGTACAACAGTGGTTAGAATTTAGCTAGCTACGGACACACACACACACACACACACACACACTTTCAGTGTAATCACTGGATTTATTTTTTTATTAATTTATTCATTCATTTTGAAATATTTCTTTACACACAACATGAAGTTTGAACTCAGCCGGGAGATCAAGAGTTACATATTCTTCTGACTGAGCCAGCCTGGTGCCTTGCCCCTGAGTTTAAATAAAAGGAGAAAATAAGGTTCTTCTGGCCAATGAGAAGCAACCAGTATTGAAAATGAAAAAGTCCACATGGGCCAGATCATGCTTGATCCTGTAGACTGACGCTTTTTTTCTTCTAAGATTTTATTTCTTTATTTGAGAGAAAGAAAGAGCACAAGCAAGGGGAGGGGCAGAGGAAGAGAAGCAGGTTCCCCACTGAGCAGGGGTCTCTCTTGATCCCAGAAACCTGGGATCACCACCTGAGCTGAAGGCAGCCATTTAACCAACTGAGCCACCCAGGCATCCCTAGACTTATGCTTCTAAAGCTTGACTGTGGTTATGAATTTTCTGCAAATCTTGTTAAAATGCAGACTGTGATTCTGAAGATCTGGGATGGAGCCCGAGGTTCTTTTCTAACAAGCTCCCAGATGATGGCCATGCTGCTGGGCCAGGGACCGTACTTTGAGTAACAGGGTAATAGAAGATGGTTCTATGGTGCTTGGATTATATTTTGTAGGCAATGGGGAGCGATGAAAAACTTTTTTTGTTTTGGCTTGATTTGGATGTTTTATCCAAGTAATTCCAGCACAGGGTCACAGAAGGATTTACAAATGTAAAGATAGTTAACTTGGTCTATCGTTTTCCACCTCTAGCCCCACTCCCCAAAGGCAACCACATTCAACTACTTTTTTCTGGTGTTTATACATATAACCCCACATACACTTATACAGGACTACTATTTATTAATTTTAAATATTGTCTACTGACTTCCTATTATGATAAATATGATTTATTTCACACTCTGTGCTTCCCCTCTTCCACTGGCCCTATATATTTCTATCACTATTTTAAGTTCACTTAATGGTTACCTCTGTAATATTAAGTAAAATATTTTTCCTTAGTGTCTCTCAGTCCACAGAAGGGTTATCAGAGGTTAAAAAAACAGATTTGCCTTTTTGAAAAATTACTCTGGATTTTGCAAGGAGAAACGATTGGAGGGGTACAAATCTGGAGTCAAGGAAACTGGAAGGCAAGAAACTGAAATGGCCTGGACCAGGGGCTGTTTGTGAGGTTGGAAAAGAGGCCAGAATGGAGAACTCTTAAGGAGGTAAGATTGACAAGACTGGTTATATTCATTTAATTATAGTGGCATTCATGATGGCTTGTTCAAGAAAACGAACGATTCCAATAAATATTATGGAGAGTCTACTATTTGCTAGCCAGTGTGTGTGGTACAGAGAATACAGTGATGAGCAAACAGACCTGGACTGGCTCCTAGAGAAGAGGATTCAAGGGTGACTCTTAGCTGTTTGGCCTGGTGCCATTCAAAAAGGAAGGGAACCCAGAAAGAGGACTAGGAGTGGGAAGAGATGATCACAGCAGGGGTGGCATTTAGTTGGAGGGGTCTGTGAAGATGTCCAGCAGGCAGCTGGACATAGGTCAGCCTAGAGCTCAGGAGAAATGTTAGGACTGCAGATACAAGTGTAAGAATCTAGGCGGTTAACAGGTCAGGAGAGTGGATAAGATCTGTGAAGAGGGAGACTGAGCAGCAAAGATCAGAGAGGAGCCCTGAGCGACATCTTTTTCAAATGCTAATAAAATGTGCTGGGTTTTCTTCTATTCTCTAATACATACCTATTTGGAAAAATCACCGCCCCCCCCCCCAAAAAAACCAGTAAAAATCACCCATGTTAACATTTTGGGGGATACCATCCCACCATTTAGGAAGCAGGTGGAATATGGAGAGCTCAAAAAAATCTAAATGGTCTTCTGGCTTCCTCCATTTCCTTTTAAAACATTCTCCACCAAACAGTAAAGTTTCTGTTAAATAGGACTATATCACTTTTCGGCTTAAAACTTCCCTGTCTACCTACTCACTTCGGATAAACATCACCATCTTCTAGAAACTTGTTAGAAATGCAGTATTCTGCTCTGCCCAGACTATCAAATGGAAAACTCTAAGAACAGGGCCTAGCAATTTGTGTTTTAAGATGCCCTCCAAGTGATTTTTTTTTTTTTTTAAGATTTTATTTATTTATTTGACGGAGAGAGATCACAAGTAGGCAGAGAGGCAGGCAGAGAGAGAGGGGGAAGCAGGCTCCCCGCCCAGCAGAGAGCCCAATGCGGGGCTCCATCCCAAGAGCCTGGGATCATGACCTGAGCCGAAGGCAGAGGCTTTAACCCACTGAGCCACCCAGGCGCCCCCCTCCAAGTGATTCTGATGCAAGGTAAAATTTAAGAACCACTGTGTTAAGCTAAGTTCTTTGTGTGTATTATCTCATTAAACCTTCAGGACAAATCTGTATTATTCTTTTTTTTTTTTTTTAAAGATTTTATTTATTTATTTGACAGAGAGATCACAAGTAGGCAGAGAGGCGGGCAGAAGCAGGCTCCCTGCTGAGCAGAGAGCCCGATGCGGGACTCGATCCCAGGACCCTGAGATCATGACCTGAGCCGAAGGCAGTGGCTTAATCCACTGAGCCACCCAGGCGCCCCCCTCCAAGTGATTCTGATGCAAGGTAAAATTTAAGAACCACTGTGTTAGGCTAAGTTCTTTGTATGTATTATCTCATTAAACCTTCAGGACAAATCTGTATTATTCTTATCAGTGTAGGGGGAGGGGGTCTTGAGAGAGGATTTGAGCCGGGATACCTCAGTTTGAATTCCAGCTCCCAGCTTTGTGACACTGGATCTCATTACTAACAGTACCCATCTCATGGGATTGTTGTGGAATTAAATGAGGTGGTGTAAATAAAGTGCTTGGAACAATGACCGGCATAGAGTAAGCATTATATAAGCATACCCCCATTTCACAGATTAGGAAATCCAGGCTGAGACGTGAAGTGACTTGCCCAAGGTCTAGCGTAGTGGTAGAATCAGATTTTTAACTCTCCTTAGCCTCCAAAGGCACACCGTAAACCAGGGTGCAAGCCTTGCCGAAGCAAGGGAAGCGGGTAGCTGTGCCGAGGCCTGTAGGCCCTCTGACCCTGGCATCCCGAGTGGTCTCATCCAAGGCTCTAGGGTTCGCCATCCACGATGCTGGGGGCCAAGGCTAAGTTGGGGGGAGGGGCTGCTGCTGTGTTCCAGCAGCCATCCCGCCCGCCAGTTGCGAAGCTGCCGGGGAACTGAGTATTCCGAGTGCTCGACGGCCGCTGACTCCCCCCGCTGCCGCCGCCGCCGCCCTAAGCACCGCCCGCCGCCCTCTCACCCCGCGGCGGCGGCGGCGGAAGCGGGGAGGCGGGGCGGACCGGGCCGGGGCGGGGCCGCGAGCGGCATGGAGGAGGCGGAGGCCGCGGCGCGCCGGGCAGAGCAGTGCGGGCCGGAGAGGGGCCCGAGCGGCGCCCGGGCCCCCTGAGCCGTGAGTCCTCCTGGGCGGGAGTCCGGGAGGGGTGGCGCGGCCGGGGCAGGTCTCCCGAGCCCTCAGGCGGCCCCGAGCCCTGGAAGGAGAAGAGCGGGGCCAGATAGGAGAGGGCGAGAGCGCAAGCAAGCGGGTGGAGGATTGGGGGCCAGGGTTGGTGGGGGGTGGTGTTTGTGCCCTTTGCCCACCCCCAGGACCGGGAAGTCCTGGAGCTTGGTCTTTTTAGGGGCTGCTGAACATTGAGAGTCGATTACTTGGCCTCTGTTCTGGGGGCCCTGGGCAGCTCTGCCAGTTACTCCAAGCACCCTAGCCCCAGGGGAGTTTCCAGGTGACCCGACCCCTCTGAATGGTTCCTTTCCAGAGCAGTTGAGCCACTTTTCCCAGGTCACACAACCTGGATGTCTGCAGGAAAGAGTTGTTGGGAGGTCCTCCCTGGTCTCCCCAGAAGGCATCAGACTTTGGGAGGTACACCCTAGTCCCTGTGACCCTCTGGTCCTCTCAGATTCCTGAAGGCATGGGTTGGCCAGGACAGTGGTGACTCCCCAATCCGGCATGGACGACTGGAAGGCCAGCTCCCTCATCAAGCCCTTTGGGGCTCGGAAGAAGCGGAGCTGGTATCTTACCTGGAAGTATAAACTGACCAACCAACGGGCCCTGCGGAGATTCTGTCAGGTACAGAGCTGTCCCAGTGCCCCTGGGGGCTCCCTCCCAGCTTTACCCTAGCCTACACTATGGGCACTGGGACCTACCTTGGCTGCTCCCAACCCTGGAAGGAGGCAGCAGGTTCCTAGAGAGGAAACCTCTTTGTGTCATGCCCCTCCGAGGTGGTGGTTTGGGCCCAGAGTTCTGGAATCAGAACCCAAGTACAACCCCCTAGGCTTCTGACAGAAACCTGAAGTCTAATCAGGAAGGCTTTGCTCAGGGGCACCCACCTGTCAGGCCGTTAGAGCTAAGACCCAGGTCTTCTGATCCCCAGCTTGGTTCTCTGGGATTGGCTCCATCTGTGGGAACTAATTGTGGAGGGGACCAAGGAAATCAGGACCTCAAATGGAAAAATACAGGAGCTCTGGGTAGGGAAGGCCCTGATGAAGAGAAGGGTCAGGGCTCGTTCCCTGGAGGAAGTGATCTTGAAATTGGACCCTGGTTGGGGG